CCGCTACCATGTTGATGGGGGGGGGGGGGGGGGGGGGGAATTGGGCCTCCGGCCACCTGCACTCACCAGACGAAACGCAGAAGCAGAGCTTCTACTTCCGCCGGTATTCTGTGAGGTCGTGGTACCAACCCGGCTCGAGCCGGCCCATACGTGCCACAGCAAAAACTGCCGCGTGGCTCTACCACCGGTAAAACAACTACGTGGCTCTACCACCGGTATTTACAACTAAATTACGCAAGTATTCCCAATAACTAATATTGGTACCTCAAAATGGAACCCGTTTCTCTCTATACTTATACGTGCACGTATACTTAATTTTTTTTACACTTACTACCTGTGCTTGAGCACTTTTAACTTCCGTGAATGCAGAAATAATTTTGCTGCCGCAGTCCTCATAACTTTGGGCCTATTTGACGTAAACACGACTCTTTATTTCACCCCACAGATAAAAGTGAGAAGTCCGACGAGTTTACAATCCACAGTAGAGGGCCTCCATGCGCAGTTCACCTATCTTCATATTCACTATTTGAATTATCGTTCACTGTACTTGAATAGTATGATTAGCTATCAATTGTTCTTCGATTGGTAGGTAGGTGCATGTACGTCAATTTCTTGCCACGGTAAAGACTCACTTAAATGTAAATAATATGTATCACGGCACCATTTCATAGTATTCGCGGTTCGAATATTTTCGTCATTGGTAACGAAGCGACACTACCTACGACAACTTAAATATAGCACACTCGTACATAATGAGGTCACGGACACACTATCACCTGTCGACCGGCCGGTCGGACATAAGTACTTAGCTTTGTAACGGTTAACGAAAGGGAAGGGCGTGGGACGACGCGACTGCGACAAGGTATAGTTATTCTATTTCATGATGACTTTGGTTGTTGTAAGCCATGCACGCACATACAAATTGTGTTAGTGTGCGTAGGGCTCGGGAGCGCTATTAGTCGTGCACATACACTTTGTGTTAGTGTGCATAGGGCTCGGGAGCGCTATTAGTCGTACACATACACATTGTGTTAGTGTGCGTAGGACTCGTCAGCGCTATTAGTCGTGCACACTAACACAATGTGTATGTCCACGACTAACGACAACTTCATTGTGAAAAGTTCATTGTGAAATAGAATAACTATACCTAAATTTGTAACCGAGGGACCCAATAAAAAAATAATAATGCATTACCACACGCATTCTGCATATAAAAGATAAAAAAGACAGAATTTTTGAGATTTTTGTTCACCATTCGTCTGTATTACTTATTCTGAACCTTCTATCGAAATTTTGCGTATACATTTGCTCCAATTCGACCCCTGGTAATTCGACATGCCTATAACATGTAGGTATTAGTGATGTAACGGATATTCGCATTCGCATTCGCGAATATCCGCATATTTTTCAATATTCGCATTCGCATTCGCAAATTATGCTAATATTTAGCGAATGTTTTTAATAATCAAAAATTATTATATGCTTGCATATGAAATAATAATACAATAGATAACACTTAGATATTTTTATTAAATCATACTTCTACATTCTAAATTAAAGTCTCATTTATGAAAAAAGAACTTCAGAGATCTGATCAAATCTAACATTAATCAGCCTTGTTACAACTATGTAAGGTTTGCATTTATTTAGTAGTATATTATTACTTTACTACCATTTTTAAATAAAGTTTACAGTTTCTATTTACTAAAAAACTAAACAATTACTTGAAACAAAATTATTAAACTTTAAATATCTAATGTATTAAGTATTTATAACCTTTGGCTTTAAATGTATATTTTTTCATTTCACTTTATATATCTGAGGAATTAAATATATTTATAATGAATGAAATATAAACTTAAAAAACAAAACAACGAATACTTAACTATTTGTAATTATACCTTTTTTCAAAAACAAAATTATAATTATTTTTATTTTAAACTAAATTAAACTTCTAATACTTGTTATATTAACATTTGGTTTCAATTGCAAGTTATTTATCTATGTATAAAAATAATGATATATAAGTAAGTAAGAAGGTACACAAAATATAGGTTTTCTAATAACATGTTGACTATTTAATTATTAAATTTGTTGTAATTTTTAATTCTTAATAATTAAATTGAAGCAATGGAATGTTAAATTTTAAAAATAAAAGTTTGGAGGCTCTTTCTCCGTGCAGCCTGTTTCGGTGAGGTGTGTAAAGTAGTCCAACTCCACTGAAGACTCTTTCACTGGGGACACTTGTGGGCGGAGTTACCAAATATTCTCTGACTACTGGAGAAAGAATGCCATATTTGTTGCTATTTACTTTCCACCAAAGAAGTGGGTCTTCTTCATTTTCAATACGTTTATCCAAAACATATTCATTAATATTTTTTTTTATTAATACTTCTAATGGATTTGGAATATCATTCCTCGCTTTCACTTGAGTCCATCATCATTTTCATAGTTTCTTTTAATGTCACAGATTTTTCTGTAAGACTGGTACTGGAGCCCAAGTTTTCACTATCATGATTCCTTATTTTAGGACGCTTTGGCTTTGAACATGACGGCAAACTTAAGTCCTCATCTCCAAGTGAATCTAAAATATTTTTCATGACTTGATCTTTTGTTGAAGGATTTTTGAAGAATTTCGTTTTGTATCTAGGATCAATAAACGTTGCTGTAGCAAATAATATGTCGTTTTCTAAGTGAGAAAATCTGTGTCACATTTCTTGTTTTAAAACAAGTATAGTATTCCTAATGCACTCGTCAGATGCATTATATTCATCAATCACCTTTTCCAGAGTGGCCAATAAACGGAATCACAGATGATATGGAAACATTGGCTGCACTTAGTTCTCGAGTTATTTCTTCAAAAGGTTGAAGCAATGTAATCAATTTTTCCACAAGTATCCATTCTTCTGAAGTTAGTTGTGAAATTTTGTTGCTGGTGGAAGCATAAAGGCACAGCGAATCTTTGTTTTTCAAAATGCGTTCTAGCATGTAAAAGGTACTATTCCACTTCGTAACACATTCTTGGATTATCTTCAGCTTTGGTTGATTAAGCTTTTCTTGTAGATTAACAAGTTCATCTTGAGCTACATTAGAGTGGTGAAAATGTGTTGCTATCTTTTTACATTTGTTAATGGCTGCAACGATAGATTCTTGTGACTTGAGCCCTTCTTTAACAACAAGTTGGATTTGGTGCGATAAACAATCAAGGGTTTTTAATACTTAATAAAGAAATACCTTTTTTCATGTTAGTGCCACCATCTCTAACAATACATAATACGTTTTCTTTGGGAATTCCCCATGATGACAACATAGTTTCTAACTTTGCCGCTATATTTTCTCCTGTATGTCGCCCATCATTGAATACTTCTGCTTTCAATATAATCATTTTTCGTTCAAAATTATTGGTAATTCCGTGACAAGTGAAACTTATTAGCGACACTTCAGAGCAAGAGTCAGACCAGATATCAGTTGTTAATGCTAATTTTTCAAATGATTTGATTAATTCCAGAATTTTATCTTTTACTTTGCCGTATAATTTCTCACAAATGAAGGAAGTAAAATATTGCCGACTTTTTAAATTATATGAAGGCCATACTTGGTTAATCAATCTCACAAATCCAAGACATTCCACAAAACTAAATGGTAAGTTCTCCAGTGCGATCATTTCGCCAATCAAATTATCCAGCACCAAAGACTTGGTGTTGTTGTTATCCCACTTTTTATTTTTTTCAACGCAATCACTCAGACATTTGCTTAAGGTCAGTTTTGGTACATTGTCGCGAAGAGGACGCGAAAGAATTAATTTTAGCAGCATCTTGCTTTTCATGTTCTCTTTTTTCAATTCTTCATATTCATTTTTGTGTTTAGCTTCCAGGTGATTTCTCATAGCACTAGTGGTCCTGCCTCTGCGTGAGTAATTTTTATCACACAACTTGCAATTAACATTTTCAGCATCATATATTGTAAAATAAGTCCAAACTTCGCTGATGTGTGCTTTACTTATGTTTTTATGCCACTTTGTCCCTTAAATATCAGTTAAATTTGATAAATAACATAAAACTAACCTCAAAACAAAACAAAACTTTTAGAATGAACTTTCTGTGACTAAATTCATTCAATTAACCAATATCGGCTCGGCTATGTTCAATTTAAACATGGCCGACACGAAACGTCAAACCTGTCAAACATTTTAAGCGCGCTTTTTTTTAAATTTTAAAATATTCTCATTCGCATTCGCGAATGTTAAAGATAAATATTCGCAATCTCATTCGCATTCGCAAATGTGAAAAATCCAACATTCGTTACATCACTAGTAGGTATAGTCGAGTCGCGTTATGAATCGGTCACGGGCGGAGGGGGAGATGTTCTTCCCGAATACGTGGACAAACAGGTTGTTACTAGTTTGTGCCACCAAGAATTTTGCTTGACGATGACTCGTATTGTCTTAGTTTGAATGTGTCTATGGTAGCGGCCTCGCGGGCGTTCATTATTTACTGTTTAGGTATCCATAGTGCATCACATGACTTTTTTTATTTTTATTATGTTCTATTTGATATAATTTGTTGGATTACAAGGTACTCTTTTTCAAAAAGTGCCGGAATACTAGGGTGCTGTAGCAGTATCTATAGTCCGACAAATTTGGTAATCCGACACCGCCTTGCAAAACATTGCTTGTAACCGCGGGTCAACTGTATTGTAAAATAACCCTGTATAATTGTATTAAAGTACATTTTTAGACAGCCCTTTCAATTATATTTAAAAATAAACGATTATCTTAAATTATTAATTTATTTAAATACCATAACACAATGAAAGTTAAAATTTATTCTTTATGAAAGTATAATAATTTGAGTGCAAAAGATAGCATTATCGGTTCCAAGGGGTTATTGCGTAACATAAATAAAATAGGGATAAATTGAGATTTTTCTTTTTTGAAGTCAATTAAACAACTTATTAAAAGTTGCCATGCTCTTTAATATAAACACAATTTTTATGTGTAGGTACTAGTAGCGGCCATTTAAAACGCACTTCACCAGAGCACGAGATCAAGGTTCCGCCAAAAAAGCGCATGCGTTTACAAGAGACCGCTTTTCTCCGGCGCGATTCTTTTATAGACAACATGTTTGGGGGCGTGCTACTTACACGCGTCGAATGTACTCAATGTCATTCGTCGTCTCTCTCCCGCGATGTATTTCGCGATCTCCAGCTGGCGTTCCCCGAAACGCCGGAAAGTTTACAACACTCCGTCCAAAGCCTCCTAGACTTCTACTGTTCAAAGGAGAGCTTGTCTGGTGACAACCGTTACCAGTGCCGTGATTGTGGAGGCTTGCGTGATGCAGAAAGAAGTGTACTGATTGAAACCACGCCCAAGTATCTAATACTTGTGTTGAAAAACTTTAAGTAAGTTTCACTTTAATATTAAAGTTCAAAGTTAAAGTTATAGCCACTAAGTCCCACTCCTCGGCCTCCTCTTATTTCTGAGAAGGTTTAAAGGCTAGGAAAAGTCCCTTCCATTACTTCACATTTTTGAAATATTATTTTTAATTTCTAATACATGCAGAATTCCTCACGATGTTTTCCTTTAACGTAGAGCACGTGGTAAATCAACACTTAAAATTGTTATTAAGAATTTCATTTATGCCGGCGGGGTTCGAACCCGGGTGAGCGAGCGCTTAACCCCTAAGCTACCACAGCAATATCATTAAAAGAATCGTCAATATTTATAGATCGGGGAAAAAGTTTCTTCGTATTTTGTTTGTATAAAATTGAAGAAACATCTCTTTGGTTATACTGTTGTATCTGGCTGGTTTTAATATCAATACGCTATATAGGACATTAAGAAAAAGAAAAAGTAAAAAACACTTTCCCGTCAATTTTCAATTGTTTTTCTGCCCGCTAAAATGAGTGAATCTAACGAAGAAATTCAATAAATTCTGAAAGTTTTATTACAAAAAAAGGGAAAAATGTGATTCGAGCCGAGAAAAAAATTTGTGACGTTTATGGACCTAATGCAGTGTCAGTAAGAGCAGCACAAAGTAGGTTGAAGCGTTTTCAGTCCGGGAAAATTGATGTCACAAATGCAGCTCGCTTTGGTCGCCCGGATACGGTCATACGGATAAAGTCGATGTGATTTTTGAAGAAGTAGAAAAAATTCGGCATATTAGTAGTTACGACATAGCCGAAGCCGAGGAATTAAGGATTGGTTACAAAACAGTTTTGACCGATTTAAAAATTTTCGATTTTTGGGTACCACACGAGCTCACTACGAGAAACCTATTGAAGCGTATACTCACTTGAGATTCTCTATTGAAACTTAATGAAACTGAACCATTTTTAAAAAGATTGATCACTGGTGATGAAAAATGGATCACCTACGACAAGAACGTGCTAAAACGATCATGGTCAAAAGGTGGTAAAGCTCCACAATACCCGTATTAACACGCAATAAGGTGATGCTGTGTGTATGGTGGGATTGAAAGGGCATCATTTGTTATGAGCTTTTTACCACAAAAAGCATCGATTCGGATCCCTACTACCAACAACTAATGAGACTCAAGCAAGAAATTGAGAAAAAACGGCCGGAATCGACCAACAGAAAAGGAGTGGTCTTTCATCATGATAAAGCCAGACCACACATATCTTTGGCCACTCAGCAAAAATTGAGAGAGCTTGGTTGGAAGTATTAATGCATCCACCATATAGTCCTGACCTTGCACCCTTAGATTTTTACCTGTTTCGTTCTCTTCATAATTCTTTGGGTAGTGTTATGTTAAAATCAAGAGAGTACTGTCATAACTACTTGTCGCATTTTTTTAATCAAAATACCTACAAAATGTCTACAGGAACGGGATTATGTCACTACCTATAAGATGACAATAAGTTATTGAACAAAATGGCACCTATATATTATAATTAAATGTAATTCAACTTTAAAAAGAAAATGTCTTGAATTTATATATAAAATACGAAGAAACTTTTTCCCCGACCTTTTATTTAAAAGAATAATTTCCCTCTGTCGCTTTTTACAACACCTACGGGACGATATGAAGTAGTGGATTCTGTTGGCTGCTGCTCCAATACATGCTATTCTCATGGCGCTATTTGATGGATCTTTTATGTCTTATTAAATGGCACATTGCAAAAGTTCGCGCTTATTAGAATAAGAAATTTTTTCAGTGTTGAGGCTGTTGTGTGTGAACTGCAAACACCAATGCATGTTTATGTCCTGGTTAGTTTAACTTAGCCCGGTTCTTACGACCCTGTTTAAATCTACATTCATCAACAGGTTCGAACCGAAGCTGCAAGTGCAAACCAAACTGATGCACACTACGTACCACAATCCCATCGTGACGCTGCCAACCGTTCGATCCCAAACCGATCACTCCACCTACACTCTGTACGCGGCCATAATCCACGCCGGCACCACTCTGGACTCCGGCCATTACTACACCCTCGCCAAGGACAGCAACCAGTGGTACATGTACAATGACGACGTCGTTTCTGTCGCTGATGAACAGCAACTGCACAAGCTGAATCGCTCCAGCACACCGTACGTACTGTTCTACAGGCGCACTGATATCGATGAAGGCGCTGCTCCTTCGCTCGATGAACTTCCGCCAAAACTGCAGGAGATAGTGATGTCCCACAACAAGCACTATGTCGAGACTGTCCGAAAAATGCAACTCACTCGTCCATGACAGTTACGGTCCCAAAAATATATCGATTTCTCGGTGTTGGACTACATCGATTCGAAGTAAAATGCACATCTAAGATACTCTATTCCTTCAATTCATCGCATGAAGAGGGAATAATTTTAGCCTACGTGGTTTAACGTATATTAAATGTCTGTGTGTTTCATTGCATGTGCATTTATCATTGCGGATATATACGCGACTTTGATGTTATTTAACTATTCTAAATGGATATCGTTAAACCCTCGGCTATCCCACTCGGTGTTTTAAAAGAAACATTTTCAAATGACGTGTCATTAGCTGGCTAATTTTTACACGTTATCTTGATTTTCGCTATCATTATATACTTTAAATCTATTTTAAGGTCCGCCACATTAAATTACGTTGATTACGTTTTTTGTTTTCTCAACAAATCCGATCCTTTATTTAGCTTCGATGAAGTGCATTACATGTATATATTATACTTGTTTCATTATTTATGTTTTATCCATAATATGTATTATATCTTACAGATATACTTTAAATTATTATAGATTATTTTATGTTTTGTAAATAATGTAAACATATTTTTTAAGTTTGAAAAATTGTATTAATTATGTTAAACATAATTCTGTTTCTGGTTCTCTTGATTTTATGAATGTGGGTTGTATTTTAAATTGGCTTACAAAGTCAAAATCGTAGTCAGATGATTTTAGATTAGATTCTGTAGAGTGATTTGTGATTGCGTTATAGATCAAATTTCATAAAACTTTTCGTACTAAAATTACACTATGTTTCGTTAAAATCATCTCAATATCTCTTAATTATGCTCAGTATGTTTTTTTTTTCCGAAATAAATGATATGCACAATAAATATGTATATTAAATATACAAACGGAAACCTGGTAGTTCCACGCAGCGGCAAAAATCGTTCGGCTTGACCGGGGACCGCGCTCTCACTGAATATGAACGTGAAATAGCGGCATATAACGCTGTGTTTCGTAGGACAAGTAGGGAGGCATTCCATTATAGTCTTCAGAGGTCGCAACACATCTTCATTTTGATTCTTAATATAATATAAATAAAGGTGATTATGAGTCCGTTCGTCACTCAATTCTATAAACAATTTTAAGTTGCTTTTTATAAAATATTTATGTGCTTGCAAAAGATTGCAAGCACAGAGATATCACCTCCGAGGACAAGATAGAATGCCTTGTTACCTACTAGTAAAAAGGGTCTCCGGTTCTCCACACTCATCATACGTAATACAGCAGTGTTATTTGGTTATTGCACTCTGGTATTGTATGAGAGCGAGGCCCTACCGGTCGAGCCGACTCATTCGTCAGCACGAACGTTAGCTATGCACAGCTAGCATAGTTCTACCACTTTAAAGTTAGTACGAAAACGTAAATCGGATTAGTAGTTCCGGATTTGAGCATATAATATAAACTCTAAAATGCAATCTTTATAAACCTTGAATAACTGAAAAAACTTGTTGATTTTGACTTTGAATGTCAATATTAAAAAACATTTGTACAATAATAAAATAAAAGAAAGAAAATTAGTTAATCCCCTAAGTTAGTTGAAATTTGTTCTTATTACATACATGTGTACAGTTAATAGTTTATTAACAAACTAACTTGTCATATTTGGTAGGAATTGTTTATATATATATATATATGTATATATATATATATAATTACCGTATTTACCGTATTATACTTTATTACACTTAATTAGCAATTACGCAATTTTGTTGTAAATACTTAAGCTTTAATTGTTAAGCTCGATATGATGTCGTGGATAACTATAGGATTACTAGCTTTACTCAATGATCTGGGATCTCACATCCTTATATATATATTATATATATATATATATAAATATATATATATTTATAAGTAGAGTTGATATTGCAATTGGTATTTGATGAAATATACCTCTTAAGCCCATTATTTGTTTTATTTTCACATAATTTTCGAATTACTGTTACAGTTAAAACAAATTAACTGTAAAGTAACAATTTAATCGTGTAGTGGCAGTGTAAGAATATCCATTACCCCATATCGTCCCGAGGATGTCGTAAGATGTGACAGAGAGGAAAATTAAACAGGAGGTGGGCAGCAGCATCTTCCTGATAACAACAAAAATTAATATAAAACTATTAATTGATATTCCCCACAGAAGGCAATCTATGAGCGTGACCTACTTTCAGCGGTAGACTTTTATAGGCTATAGTGATAACGGAACAATTTAAATATCTTCTACTTAGGTACTGGCTACACGCGTTTTCTCATATTAAAGATTAGATGCTCTGGTACGAATTAACGGACTTCACACGTCCTCAAAATAGATTTAACTGTGTACTACGGAGCGTTTCAAATTAGCACTTAAAATTACGATTAACAGTAGCACTGGTGGTGGCAAGGATCGCACTCTACTTGCTTATCTACCATGTAAACTAAGCAGAGAGCTCTGTCCAAGTTGCAACACAAAATCAAAGTGAACGACGGTGCAAAAGCTTTATTACAAGCGGCTCTGCAACTCACGCACACAAGCGCAGTAGCAGACAGAGAAGATAACGCGATATATAGTAATGTTCTCATGCTGAATATCGATCACGGTGGCCAGTCTTAACCTTTTGACCACCACGCGAAAAACGCATTGCCGTGTCCTGTACCCTATTAGGCAGCTACTGACCTGCCTGCCGCAGGGGCAATCTAGGGAGCACAGCGATCGGAGCAATATCGAAGGCCGTAGGGCTGACAAAAAATTGCCCCTGCTTGCCTACACACATCACAATTAAGGAGGCAATTAAGGGTCATCCCCACTCCTACACCCTAGATTGCCCCTGCGGCAGGCAGGTCAGTAGCCACCTTAAAGCGAAAAGTAAACAAAAATACCTATGAAAATAGTAGTGTTGCCAAGAGTTGAAATATCGATAACACAAAATAACTTGTTTTTGTAAGTTTTTTATGCAATAAATGACTTTATAATCTAGTATGTTTTATTTAATCTTGTGCTGTCTTCCACCCTTTTTATATATGCACTTTGTACATAAATAAAAAAACAAACAATAACAATAAAATAGTAGTAAACCACAGCACTACTCTCCATCGTGATGACGTTACTATCACGACTGGACGATAACGGCGTAGCTGACCTTCCTTTTTGAAACTTTCTTAGAGATGTACCCGTGTCGCGCGTTGTGTATCGATTTCGAAATCGATCTAATCAAAATATACAGACATCGAATCAAAATATTTTATGTGTCGGGGAGGCGTAGGCCAAGTGAAGCGCAGAAGAAAAGTCTTACGCTCTTATGACAATGGGGGTTTGATATGACGCTGATGCTACCAGATGATTTTGAGATTGAGAAAAGAAATCGCACAACACAGAGTGAAAAATTACTCTTCATACCTTAAGTAAAAAAAACACGTTTATTATTAGTAATTTTATATTATTAAAATAAAAAAAGGTACATAATTATTCACTAATCAACAATTGTATATAATTATTCGCACTAGGTAAATCAGTCAAAATCGTTCATGTTGCACTGCACTACTTTTCGCGCTAATCACTTATGACGTCATCAGGGTGTCGTCTATCCTTGACCACGGCGTCCAGTGAACTAATTTTCGATGACGCGCTAAGGATGCGCCTGAGTTGAGAAATTAGATTTATTATGCGAAGATGATTTGAGAATATTTTTTTATTCATTTAGCTAATTATAGTTTTACGTTTCTAACCTTTTGTTTTATTCAAATATCAATAATAATAGAAAAAAAATAAGGCGTTTGAGCTGAATTTTGGCTAGTTTTCAAGAAATCTATGCCTCCCGCGCACGGCACTAGCGGTCAACTATAGACGACTTTGGAGTGCTGGACATAGTATTTGCTTAGATAAAAATCATTTTTTTTAGTTCAATGTTTCTTAGTACTTGTGGCTCTAGGAGACTTGTTTTTTTATAGTCACATGTTGCTGCGTTATTCTTTTTTGAGGAGTGTGGAATTAAAATACCAGTAATAATTTTCCAATATCTATATTTCATATTTTTGTGGGCCGGGTTTTTTGTCAACTATAGACGTCGTTGGCGCTCATGGCCTGTAGGTGCTGGTCAAGTATAGGCGACTTTGGCGTTCAAAAGGTTAATGGAGACTAGAAATTTGCGCAGGACAGGATTATAGATCACTAGTGTGTACGCAAGCATAGATCCACTCTATTCTCACTCTCATTGTCCAATGGGACGGCAACCCGACACTACCGGAGAGACATACGGTGCAAGGCCAACGACTACGTGCTTTTCGCAACGAGAGTGAAAAATTGCCAATTTCGTGACTCCGGACTGTTACTGAGAATTTCTTAATCCGTCCCAGGATTCTAATCCCAGATCACAGAAGTCGTGGGCTGCCTACACTTGCGCCGTTCGGACGGAATGTTATAATGTTAAATCTTTAGAAAAATTATTAAATAAATTATTTGTAGCCAGCTGGTAATGTAGGGTGTTGTCTAAAGGTAAGTACGAATATTCCCAGTTTGTCGTTTTTTCTTTGCCAGCAAATCTTGAACAAAAAGTAATATTTTTCTCGATATTTGAGCTAGCTATTCATTTCATACTGTTCACCTACCATCGTGGGGTTCACAAATACACAAATACAAAATAAACATGTATTTATAAAGGGCCGGGCATCACCCTCAGCGAATTTATGTTTTTATGTTCATATTATGATCACTGGCAAAACTATATAAGTACCTATACCTACGAGGGCGGCACTGAAAATTTCGGGAATCAAGGAATTGACACAACATTACTATTTAAAAATTTATTTATTGCTTTTCGAAGTATTCTCCGCGAAATTTGACACATTTTTCCATACGATGGGACCAATCATTGAAGCAACCATTCCTTTCGGAAGTTGGGGTCTCCAAAATGGCCGTTTTGTAGGCGTCCACAGCTTCTTCAGGTGATGAAAATCTCTGTCCAAGCAATTTATTCTTTATTTTAGGGAAAGTATAGAAATCATTAGGGCTTAGGTCGGGGCTGTACGGCGGATGGTCTAATAATTCTATGTTTTCTTGCTCTAAAAACTCTTTTGTTCTGTGTGAGGTGTGAAAACTCGCATTGTCGTGATGGAGGATGTTGCGGCGGTTGTAGTTCTCTTTACGGAGTTCAGAAACGACCTGTGGCAAACAAATGCTAGCATACCATTCTGTATTAACCGTTCTTTGTCCCTCAAGAGGAATAGTCGTAACATGGCCGGTGGCAAAAAATGGTAGCCACGTTTGTCTCCAACAAACGTGGCCACCATTTTTTTGCAACACTCCGTGAACGAACAATTTTTGTTGGCTTTATCTCATTTTTGAACACCCAAACTCGTGACTGGTTTTTTGTTTCGGGTTCGTACGCATATATCCAGGATTCGTCACCTGATACGATGTTGTATATAGCATTTGAGGATCCTGCGTGGAATCTTTCGAGAGTTCTGACGCACCAAGTAACGCGAGCCGCTTTTTGCTCTTCACAGAGCGAATGCGGTATCCATCGGGAAAACAACTTTTTTACACCTAATTGTTCATGCAAGATTATTTGTATTTGACTCATGCCAATGTCTAAAGTTGCCTGAATTTCGCGGTATGTCACATGTCGATCTTCCTCAATCAGCTTACGCACAGCATCAAAGTTTTCTTGGGTGACTGCAGTTTTTGGACGACCTTGACGGGGATTATCACTGAGCTTGACACGTCCACGTTGAAATTCAGCAAACCAGCGATAAATTGTGGTTTTGTATGGGGCTTCATCACCAAATGCAGAAATCATCCGGTCAACACACTGTTTTTGTGTTAAACCACTTCCAAAGTCATAATAAATCATCGCTCTTGAATTTTCTCGAGTCAATTCCATTTTCTCAACGACTAAACAACTTTGACAAAACCTTGTGACAAGACCGAGAATCTTTTTTTAAATAAATAAATGGTATTTGATTTTTAAAACCAAGGACTTTTCAATTAAAAAAAATTTAATATGACAGGAACAGTGGAAATATTCCATTCCCGATACTTTTAGTGCAGCCATCGTATTACTTTATATTGAAAAATAATGTTTGTACTGGTATATGAAATCAAAGTTGGCAAAAAAAAAATTACTTCGCGTACATCCGCTCGATAAAATAAAATGATGTGTCTTACCTAGTTTTTTTTTTTGCCAACTTTAATATAATGGACTTCCGCAAAGTAACGCCTGATTCTATTAAGTATATGAAATCGTTTAACTGCAAAATCTATTTGATCGATCACCATAAATATTGGTATATATAGGCATTTGTCAATATATGTTTATATTTATAAACTAAAAAAAAAATTAGAAAGAAACAATATTTAAAATTTTGATTTCCTTTTTTTCAATCAAGCGCGGCAATTATGAAATTGCCTGCGCTAAAATAAAAAACGTTGTTGTATACAACCTATGATATTAACTGGCAGTACAACGTCTGCCGGGTACAGCTAGTTACTTTGGCATTGTTACGGAATTAAACCTGGGTTCGGCTATTTCGTTTTCACTTGCGATATCACACGTCGCAATCCTGTCCAAAATTCGTTCATTTCTGTAACCTATCAAAACAAGGCAATATAATGGTTTGAAATGGTTGATTATGGTCAATAAAATTGATGTTTTAAACAATTTGGTAAATGGTTGAATATTAATGACCACTGGATGTTTCAAATTTTTTGAAAACCTTGACTGGTGTGCAACCTTCTGTCTAATACAGTCCGCATACGTATGAACTTAGTTATATGATGTAAGTTTTGCGAATCTAAAAAAAAGTCACATGGTTAAAGCTTTTATTATTAAATATTTTCAATTAATTCTCCACCAGCATCTATACAAAGTTTCCTGCGGCTGAACCAATTTTCGTGACACTATTTCCAGTCCGCCTCAGAAAGATTTTCTACGGTCTGCTCAAAGACTGCTGGCGCATCTTCTGGTGATGAAAACTACCTATCCTTTTCAGCTGATTTTTAATTAATGCATTACTTAAACAAATGTTTTTGATAAAAGTTATGAATACGTTCTATTTCTTCTTCTTTATTTTGTAATAAATTTCACCCACCTGAACTTTTACGTTATTTCATTTACTTTTTACGTTATTTCACCCATAGAAAACACTATTCTGTTAGATTTTTTTCACAAAAAAATAAATAAAAAAATAGAAGAATCAGAACTAAATTCTTATTAAATTAAAAACAATAACAACTAATTTTGTACAATGAAAACCGATAAAATACTATCTTTGTAGTACAAAAATTATAAACCAATCAGTTTTCCTCCCAAATTATTTAGTTTTTCTGTAGCAGCTCTAGTTATTTTTTTTATAATCGATCCAGGAATCTGAAATGGAAAAAATAAACCTTTTTTACTTTATCGAAAGCTGATTATTTTGTGGGTTAACTAGGTTATTAATTTAAAATAATAGACTCAATGAGAACGTTGAATCGAAGGTTAAGTAAGCAACAAGAACCAAATAGTAGTGCCTGTACCCTTCATATACGGTTTCAGGGGTACAGAGAATTGACTGCCCTTTATAGTATTGTTGAGCGCCACCATTAGCGCCTGATAAATGGCAACACTAGTTACCCCAAGCTCGTAACAGTATATTACCTGTGGAATTGACAGTGAAAATTCTCCTCGGAGGTGACAACGCTTCTGTAGCTACAAAAACTTTAACTCTTATAAGGCGAAAAGTGTATTTTACCAGTAGTCATCCGCGTACAAATGTAATTGCATGTCATGAGCCGACCAATGGGTCTACAAATCCAGTAGTCAGCCGTTAGTCCTGTTGCACAAAATAGTACCTTAAAGCTTTTATAATATGGGTTAAATTTATGCATAGTTATTTTAGCATAAAAATCTTTTGTTTTAGAATTCCATCATGTCAAAAATCCATCCATCAATACAAAGAAGAGCAATTAACACTATGGCGGCGATTAGAAATGGAATGAAAATAATAGGAGCTATTCATTTCAAAGAGTGGAGACAATTTCAGAAACAATTAAGAGTAAGTGAAGCAACAGAAAAGAGCGATATATTGATTAAAAAATTAAGAGATTTGAAACAAAAACGAAGAAAGAAGAAGAAAGTCAAAAAAGAAAGAAGAATTACAAAAAAGAAAACGGAAAAGCTGTTGAATTCCAAAAATAGTAAAAGGAGGAAGAAAATATGACATGTATAATAAACAAAGTAAGATGCAAAATCTGGGAAGAGGAATTGACTAGCGACACAGAAATTATTGACTTAAAGAATATTGGATGTAACAATTGCCTTGCATGGTACATTTGAAATGTACTGAATTCGCTGGGAACATATATGAAAATTGGACTTACGTAGTCGGACTATTTATCCCAGGTAAACATATTCGTCAATAACTTCGAGCATAGGTGTGACATGGACGTTAAACATGATTTTTGTTTTGTCCATGTTCATCTTAAGACGTTGGGAGACACTTTTGAGGTCATTGAGCATAGTGCTTACGTCGGCAAATCGAAGTCAAACTTCTACCGAGAGGTCAATCGACGGATTCAACTCTGCTGGGCAGCGTTCGAGAGATTACGACACATCTTCTCGTCAGGCATGCCTCAACATTTCAAAACAAGATTATACAACCAGTGCGTGTTGCCAGTGATGACCTATGGATCTGAGACGTGGTCCTTCACTGTTAGCCGTATGAGGAAGCTTAAATTCGCACAGCGAGCTACACTCGGCATTTTTCGGCGTGATAGACTTTAAAACGAGGATATGCGCAGTACAACCAGAGTAACCGAAATAGCCCAAAGGATTAGTAAGCTGAAGTGGCAATGGGTCGGCCATATAGATCGAAGAACCGACAACCGATGAGGAGGAAAGGTTCTCGAATGGCAGCCTCGTACCGGCAGGCGAAGTGTAGGGCGTCCCCCCACTAGATGGAGTGACAACCTGGTAAGACATGCAGGAAGTCAATGGATGCAGGTGTCTCTGGACCGTGCTTTGTGGCATTCCTTGGGGGAGGCCTATGTTCTGACTACAGTGTATGACTTGGCTGACTTGTGGAGAAATTAGGCTGACTACTGGTGAAAAAATATTAAATATAATGTTTTGTTAATTTCTTTAGTGATTTTAATAAACAACCTTTTTGAGAATAATGATTGTTTTTATCCATAATGTATATTCAAAACACAGTTGAATCAAATTTTTGTCCTCGCTAAAAGGCTGACTACTGGGTGTTTTACCCCATTTTGTCGACGCATCTTATCTTATATATAAAAATTACGTGTCACATTGTTTGTCCGCGATGAACTCCTAAACTACTGAACTGATTTCAATGAAATTTGGCACACTGTGTGCAGTTTGGTCCAACTAGAGAGATAGGATAGTTTTTATCCCGATAAGTGACCCTTAGTATTTTTTTATTGCAAATTTAAGTATTTTTATAGTACCGAGGTTCGCCGCTAAGGGCAGTACAACGTCTGCCTGGGCAGCTAGTACTACTATGAAATGAAATATTGTGAATGCTATAATAACTTATTAATTTTACATAATAACTTTGACATGAGAGGCCTGTGCCAGTAATGGGACTTGTATAAATTATAAATTTATATAACTAAAGAACTATTAAACCAATACAGATTATGTTTATAGTATTTTTTAATATTTCTTCTAGCAAGGCGCACCGAAACTGACCTCACAGACACTACAAGAATATTTAGCCCACGATCTAGTGTTTCGTCAATCACGTTTCGGCCGCGGAAGTTAGGGAACCGCCAACCCATCTGAGGCCGCTTCTTTAGGCCAGATATGTACTTATGTGGATTGCACTTAGTTCAATTAGTAGACTAAGTACTAGTACGGGAGAGGTGTGGTGACAGGTTTAAATATATGTGTAAAACTGTTAAGGTATGTAGCATAAATAAAATAACTTAATCTAGGCATACCTCAAGAACCGAGTTAAATATGTTCGATACTCCTTCAGCACCACTAACAATTGCACGACCCGCACTGTAAAATTTATCCCCACTGTTACCGTACTTCTCTTCTTCTTTTATTGTGTCCACAATTGGCTTCGGCTGTAATAATACAACGGTTTCATTACAGAAATAGAATAAGGCAATTAATTCAACGTAATGTAGTGGGGCCATGCAACGGTACGCTACGTTCTGAACTACGCTCTCACAGAATACCATCGTAAACCAGTATAATACTACTGTGTTTTGTATGGTGAGGAACGTGATACCTTTTTTACCCGACTACTTCCACATGGAGCCTATTAATTCTTGAGTGTACGTATGTATGTACGTATGAATGAATGTGTATATGTATGTAATGTACTGATATGTATGTTTGTATGTATGTATGTTTATTACTTTGGCAAATTATGTAGATTGATGGATTTGAACATATCACACATAAGTGTAGTTAGGTTTGTCCGAGTTGTTGGATTCACAAGTTGGTAATTAAGAAAGTAAAGTCCATAAAATTCTGCGAAACGGGAAACAAACTCATTTCAGTTTATATTATTTAATATTTTCAAAGAACTCTTCATTAACATCTATATACTAAGTTTCATGCGTTTGATTCAATTTTTGAAATACTTTTTCTAGCCTGCCACTTCTGCGGCCTGCTCATTCGCTGCTTCGGACCATCCAGCTATGAAAACAGAATCTCTTATAAGTGTTTTGACCAGTATCAATTAAAGAAAGGAATATCCCAAAAAATTGTTACAAAAATGTCCCTAAACTCTAGGAATACTCGCCATTGATGATAAAACCGTATTCTTTTTAGTCAAGTAGCGTGAAAAGGTCTTCCAGTGAAGCGGTGAACAGTTTCGGGGATATAAAGTCGCCTTGTCTTACACTTCCCTACAGTTTCGATAAAAAATTTGTTAATATTGTTTGTATGTACTATGTTATTGACGATGTATTAGCAGTGTAAAAACATCCAGGCCCCTTATCCTATGATCTAACATCCTAAAATATATGACCAAGGAAAACAAATCAAGGAATGAATTCCTAATAACAAACTAAAGAAAAAAAACGTCCGTAGTTGCCCGTTATAATACGTGGGCTTCCTTGATAATGAGCATAATAAGTGAGTTCGCGGTTTGACCGCTATAACGACTAAACATGGGCCCAAATAGGAAGATCGTAACTGAAGAACTTATTTTCAAATCAGCTTTATATGGAGCGATATTAAAAAAAAATTACTTCGATTTTGATAACCCTATATATCCGGCAAATGAAAAAGTAAAGCTAATAGTAGTAATGCATATAAGTCGTTTTCTTCATAAAATGTTTTTACTAATCCACGAACATTTTATAAGTTGGTCGACTATTACTCGTTAACTTCTTAATTCTACTTAGCTGTGATAGTTCTCCTTTTAACTTCATTATAATAGTATTTTGTATACTTTCACATTTTCAAAAATAACGGTTTAGTTGGTAGAGGGGAGGGGGGGGGACACATAACTAATGAATTAGTTTTAATTAAATTTTCATTAGCTAAATATTTTGCAAACGGACCCCTGAATCGAAAAGATGTTGTTCCATACCCCCCAATGTTTTTGAAAGACATATCCAACAATACCCCGCATGATGGAATAGACGGGTAAAAAAAAGTCATCCTCCATTTACTTGTATGGGAAGTACCCAAAATAAAAAAAGTTTTTTAAGATTTTATTTCACAGTTTTCTAGGCGTGGTTAATATCTATAACTATGCCAAGTTACAGATTTGTAGCACCTAGGGTCTCTGAGCAATATCGCGGACGGACGGACGGACATGGCGAGACTATAAGGGTTCCTTGTTGTGTAACTACGGAACCCTAAAAAGTGCTGTTGCCTATCCGCCTGTTAAACGTGGCCATGGCAATCCATGGGGGAGGCCTATGCTCAGCGGTTGACTTTTGGCTAGGCTAGGTTGTAAGGGTAGTGGACTCTACAAATTTGCCCCAACGTTCAGGAGCACTTGGCGGCAGTCCATGGAAAAGGCTTGTACGTCTATGGACTTGAGATGAACAGTAAAAATGTTATTAATTGTATAAATATATGAATACCTCATAGATGAAATAAAAATACCTGAAATAAACCAGCAACGATGCCTTGTACATTTTCCTTGACGGAAAGAGTTTTGCTTCCTAAACCCTCTCTCTCTAGCAATGCTCCTTCAAGTGTAGTTACTGGAGCAGAAAACAAGCCACCTCCATAGTTCACCGAACCAATCTAAAAGGACGGGAAATAAGTAAGAAGTATATATCCAAATTCGCCTACTTCATGCTTAAACAAGATTTTTCACTTGAAAGGTAATCAAGTGAAAAATCTTGTTTAAGCATGAAAATAACTAGAAAATATCCTATTTTGTACATTATTAGCTTTAAAACAGACAACAGATAATGAATTATATAGCATAAGCAGTTGGGCAAAATCCTGTGGTCTTCTTGTTAACCCTGCTAAATCCCAAGTAATGATTATCGGCAGCTCACGTATTATGTTTAACTTATTAGAAAATTCGAAGATCCCTGCTGTAACTATCGATAATACTCCGATTCCATATACAAGCTTCCAAGAATTTAGGAATTATCTTTGATAATAATTTGTCTTGGTTTGCTTACATTAATAATATGATTCGCACGAAGGTGAACTACTCTTTTCAATCTCTCAAACGCCTTCAGATGTTTTTACCGTTAAAAAGTAAGATTACCTTAACTCGGGCAATTCTTCCTCTCATTGACTACGCTGATATTAGTTTTCTGGATGCTCCAGAGGAACTATTGAACAAACTGGACTGTCTAAAAAATTTGTGTATACGTTTTATTTTCGGTCTTCGCAAGTTTAGTCATGTTTCAGAGTACAAGGCTCAACTAAAATAGCTTCCTATCCGTAGACTTCGAGACTTACATATTATGTTATCATTTCTTTACTTTCTACTCTTTAAACCTCTTGCATCTCCATATCGCTGCGACCGTTTTGAGTATCTTTTACCTCGTGATACTCAGTACCCGACCATTAGAGCCATGCTGCAGCTATATTTCTGGTATAGTTGTAACACGAATGGGTCTGCTCAACCGGGGAAGGACCACGCTCTCACAGAATACCAGCGTAAAATAGCAGCTTAATGCTGCTGTGTTTTGTATGGTGAGTGTAGAGAACCGGAGACCCTTTTTACTGGAAATCGAGGCATTTCATCTTAGTACTCACGGGTGACAACGCATCTGCATTTTGATTCGTAATCGAGGGTAGATGTAGATGTCTATGGGCCACAGCAACCACTTACCATCAAGTGGACTGTTTGCTCGTTTGTCAGCCTTATCCTATAAAAAAACGCATTTAATTTGCTTTTAAAAGTGAATTACTTACAGGTGGGCTTCCAGATGCTAATTTGTTATCCAGGAGGTTCGAAGTATGTAACTGGCCAGATACCAAGTTGTTGGCGATCGAATTGTCTTTAACTATTTTCGGCTGAGGATGGTTTTCTTTTTCTAAAGGTTCAGCTAGTTGAACATATGACGATCCTTGCGGCTGTTCGTACACGGGCAGATCAATGCGTACTGGATCATCCGCTGGAGCCGCCAAGCTTCCCACGCCAAAAACTAGTAATAGGTTTAATGTTGATATCATTCTGAAATACATAGTTTTTAATTAATTTAAGCGTTTTGTCGTGCTTTTAGAATCAGATACAATTTTAAGGTTTTTGCTATGGTAACTTAGGCTGTTTTCAGACTTCGATCACCATAAAATCGAAGTAAAGACTTTAGAAACTATTTAAAATGAGTCCTTGCAGCTAGCGAGACATCTTCCTATATATAAAAATCAATTGTTGTCCGTTAGTCTCGCTGAAATTCGAAATTGGCTCGATCGAATCTGATGAATTTTTTGTGTATAGGTGGCGCTGTTGTCGAGATCCGGAAATCACCCGTGTAAAGTCGGGGTGGATAGCTAGTTAAAATATTGACGGGATGTCTCCGCCTATATTTATGGTATACCACCTACGTGTATTACAAGTTAGGAAAATCGTAAACATTTCTACAGTACAGTTCTTCGGATATACTAATGTATACAAATAAATAAAATTGAAGTGTCTGTTTATAATGTAACAGCTTTTTACTAAATGCATATGAAAGTAGTATATACAGTACTAATAACAAAAAGTATTTTTAAAATTTTTGTCTGTCTGTCAAAATCTCCGAAACGGCTGGACCGATTTTGATGGGACTTTCACTGGCAGATAGCTGATGTTATAAGGAGTAACTTAGGATACTTCCTTTGGATAAATAAATTTAACTTGGGATAAATCCTGTCCCTGATTTACAAAATATGTAATTATAAGATAACTTAACACCAAATTAAAGATTAGAAAAGCATATTGCCTACGGAGTAATATTTTTATTTTTTAATTACATATTAATGAGGTAAAGAGCTATAAGTTAGTCTCAAAAATATCTTTTGAAAATCTTTAGTATGATTTTTATTGCAATATGAAGCATAATTTGCAAAACATACATAGAGCTCCAAAAATTGCAAAACAACATATTTATATTTATTCTCACAAAAGATAACTTTTCATGAGTCATCAATAATAAATTGTTATCTCATTTCACCATTTATTATTGTCTTCTTTCAATCAAAGATCCACTTTCTAAAAATAACTGCATTTGACGCCAATCACTAGTTACTGTTTTAGTTTAAGGAGCATTAAGGTGTCGTTTCAATTAACTTTGTTTTATAGCAGTATAAATATTTATTTATTTTGTAATTTTAACTACGACGGGGACTACAAAGAAAACTACCCAGTCTGCTCTGGCCCAGTTTTGTAAATATATGGTAAGAAAATCAACGTTCTTTTTTTTTTATAAAATAGTTGTTTATTAAATTAGAACTTTTCAATCTTAAATTTTAATCTTTTGCACTATCTGTACCCGTCACTTGGCAAATCAGGAAGACGTGTCATTATCAAACCATTTTCAGATAATAATATTGAAATGAAAACTCGCCCAGTTGTGTAAATAATTTGAGAAGAAAATCAACATTCTTTTGTATAAAATTGTCGTTTATTAAATTACAACTTTACAATCTTGTATATTTTTTTATAGTAATCATAACTACTGTTTTGGTAAATTTTAATATTTTGCAGTCTGTACCCGTCACTTGGCAAATCAGGAAGATGTGTCATTATCAAATCATTCTCAGATAATAAAATTTCACAAGTGCATTTTAAATTTGAATATTAACCGTGATTAATATAAATATGCCTGCGGTGAGGAAATGTTGCGGCTGTTTTCCCCTAAAACTTGGTGCATACATAATAGCTATCTATGCAATTGTATCTGGAGGTCTTGGTATGACAGCTGTTATCATCTACGGGCTTGCTGAAGAAAACATCTTAGCGAGCTTTCAGATACGGCGTATCGATGACGTTATGCGAAAAAGCATCATCATCGTATCGGGGATGACATCAGTTCTTCTGACACTTGCTGGAAGCCTGATCCTCTTTGGCCTTTGCTTACGTTGGAAGAACGTAATCTTATTTGGACTGGTTATACTGGTAGCTATGTGTGTCTTTCTTATTATTTCAATGATCGGTGCGCCTATAACATGTTTCTTTTTGAATAACATCTGCGTGCTTCGTGAAATCAACGTTGGCATTTTAGCACTTTGTCTTATTTTTGTCACTATTTTTCTTCAAACATGGATTTATTTCATTGTAATAGTATACAGATATCGTAAAATAATGAACACGAATGAGAACTAATATATTGATAGCGATTAAACGACCAAAACGACACGATTTATCCTTCATAGCTTCGATTTCTTGAATTTTAGTGCTTAAATATGATGTAATCTTTAATTATAATAGAGTTTCATTGGAAACATTTATATTCTACAGAAAATTTGCGAAGAATTGTTTTCGATTAAATGTATAATATAAGTATACGTAATATATATCAAACTTATATTAAATTATTATAAGAATAATGAATTGTGTACGAACGTATGCTTATATTTAATCGTAATATGTATTCTGCAAGAGTCATTGTATTATTATTTAATATTTATAAATATTAAATGATAAACTAATATATATATATATATATATATATATATATATATATATATATATTGTGAATACATAATTAACACAATTGAAAAAAGATCGTACAAGTCACGCAATTCAACATTTTAGCGTTTGAATTTTCCAAAATCTTTTCTTAATGGATATATGATAACATGAAGCTATTGTCCCAATTTTATGATTCTACTATGTACGTATGTACTATTATTTAATCTGTAATTCTGCGTCCAGCGGTCAAAACCTAAAAGATAAGTTTTTTAAAATATTAAAAATGGATATTTTCTTATTTTTATTCAAGAGTATTTACACCAATCGTTTAGATAAAAAGCACCATTGATTATTTAACTACTGTCCAAATTTCAGATTTCTACGTCAAGTGGTTTGGGCTGTGCTGACTAGTGGTAGTAAACGCGATTGCTGATCATGAAGTCCCGTTCCGGGTTCTTGGTGGAGTCCCAGGTTCGAAATCCGGGTCGGGCCAAAATCAGTTACTGGATATTTCTATCAAGAAGTGTTTGAAGCACATAAAGTCGTTGATCCTGCGCCAGATCTCTCTCAGAGAGTGAGGAAATAGAGAGTGCACCTGTGCTTGCGCATACACTTGAGCACTAAGGACATTATTTGTTATAGATAGAAAATTTCGGGAATCAAGGAAGTGACACAACATTACTATTTAAAAATGTATTTACTGCTTTTCGAAGTATTCTCCGCGAAATTTGACACATTTTTCCATACGATGGAACCAATCATTGAAGCAACCATTCCATTCGGAAGTTGGGGTCTCCAAAATGGCCGTTTTGTAGGCGTCCACAGCTTCTTCAGGTGATGAAAATCTCTGTCCACGCAATTTCTTCTTTATTTTAGGGAAAGTATAGAAATCATTAGGGCTTAGGTCGGGGCTGTACGGCAGATGGTCTAATAATTCTATGTTTTCTTGCTCTAAAAACTCTTTTGTTCTGTGTGCGGTGTGAGAACTCGCATTGTCGTGATGGAGGATGATGCGGCGGTTGCAGTTCTCTTTACGGAGTTCAGAAACGACCTGTGGCAAACAAATGCTAGCATACCATTCTGCATTAACCGTTCTTTGTCCCTCAAGAGGAATAGTCGTAACATGGCCGGTTTTGGAGACAAACGTGGCCACCATTTTTTTTGCAACACTCCGTGAACGAACAATTTTTGTTGGCTTTAACTCATTTTCGAACACCCAAACTCGTGACTGGTTTTTTGTTTCGGGTTCGTACGCATATATCCAGGATTCGTCACCTGATACGATGTTGTAAACAGCATTTGAGGATCCTGCGTGGAATCTTTCGAGAGTTCTGACGCACCAAGTAACGCGAGCCGCTTTTTGCTCTTCATAGAGCGAATGCGGTATCCATCGGGAAAACAACTTTTTTACACCTAATTGTTCATGCAAGATTATTTGTATTTGATTCATGCCAATGTCTAAAGTTGCCTGAATTTCGCGGTATGTCACATGTCGATCTTTCTCAATCAGCTTACGCACAGCATCAACGTTTTCTTGGGTGACTGCAGTTTTTAGACGACCTTGACGGGGATCATCACTGAGCTGGACACGTCCACGATGAAATTCAGTAAACCAGCGATAAATTGTGGTTTTGGATGGGGCTTCATCACCAAATGCAGAAATCATCCGGTCAACACACTGTTTTTGTGTTAAACCACTTCGAAAGTCATAATAAAACATCGCTCTTGAATTTTCTCGAGTCAATTCCATTTTCTCAACGACTAAACAAGTTTGACAAAACCTTGTGGCAAGACCGAGAATCTTTTTTTAAATAAATAAATGGTATTCAATTTTAAAAAAACCAAGGAGTTTTCAATTAAAAATATTTTAATATGACAGGAACAGTGGAAATATTCCATTCCCGATACTTTTAGTGCAGCCTATGATATTAATCAGCCATCCAAAAAGGTAATAATATCCCGGCGACGACATTTATTCATAACGTACAATCAATTAAACAAATGTGTGTCATTTCTAGACCTAAACAATTTTTTTTACTAGGTTTTTTAAAGATTAAACTTCTTGCTCAATATGAGACCCTTGGTTGGTTTTCGTTTTTTTTTTTATTTAAGATACGCCTTTGAAGTTCTTCAACAGAATTGACTGGGGTCACGTAGACTAAGTCCTTCATGTAACCCCAAACGTAGATGTCTAGTGGCGTCAGATCAGGACTTCCTGCAGGCCACGGAATTGGCCCTCCCCTGCCAATCCACCTGTTTGGGTACTGGCTATTTAGCCAATCTCGTACAGATAACTGGAAGTGAGCTGGACAACCGTCATGTTGATAAATCAAATTACTTTTAATTTCTTCTGCAACATCTACTAATAAGTTTTCCAAAGCATTTCCCAAAAATTTTCGTAAAATTCCCCGTTTAAATTTTGTAAAAAAAATAAGGCCCAATAAGTTTGTCATTTACAATACCCATCCTTCAAACACATTCAAAGACAATCTGCGTTGTGACGCTGTTTGTTTCAGTTTTTTGGATTTTTGTCCACTTTCAGTGCCCAGTAATGAAGATT